AACCCTAAACCCTAATCCCTAGTAAGAACCAGACGGTCCAACAACTTTGGCCAGCCAGGGCTTCAAGAAGTCCAGTGGACCCTTGGGGGAGATGGTGCCAGGCTGGGTTTAGGGCTACCTTTAAAGGGGGGTTATACGGGATGTATAGGGGGACTGTGGGGATGAATAGGGTTTCAGATTTGGATTCTGGGGGTGTAGGGTTTAAAATGTTGGGCTTAGGGATTTATTACTTTGATGAAAGGGTTTTGGTGACCCCCAGCCCTCATGGCTATAGCAGTGATGTCATAGTCACCGGGCATTTATGTGAAGCGGGTTGGGAACCCAAATCTGCTCATTACCATGGGGCATTGGAGAATGAGTTTCAGGGATGACCTTAGCTGCCAGAGCGCGGATGATAGAGCGACCGGTAGATCCACTCCACCTTTCCCAACGAAGCATGGGTAAGAAACTTGATTCTGCAGGACTCCCGGCATCTGCAGACATGTGCCCTAAACCTTAAACCCTCGAACCCTAAGCCCCTAAACCCTTAAGACCCTAAACCCTTAAACCATTAAACCCTAAATCCTGAACCCAAACCCTGTTCAGCCAGGAAAGAGATGGTGGAACATGCCTGATCACAGCGAGGCGCCTGGCAGACTGTTTTTGAGCTACAGTCTCAACTCCCTAAAGAGGGTTATATAAGGTGTAGGGTTTCAGGATTTAGGGTTTAGGGTCTAAACTCCTTAAAGCGGGGTAATATAGGGGGTCCTATAGGGGAGTATTATAGGGCGTATGAACGGGAATACTCACCCTAAACCCTAAACCCTTCATCTGGTCTGGACCTTGTAACCAGAATATGGGCAGTAGGTGCTATAGCTCAAATGAGCCATAGTCTAAACGCGGTTTAGGGTTTAGGGTTTAGGGAACCCCCAAAAAGAAACCTCAAGAATACAGTAGGAATATAATAGGAGTATACCTACCCATATTCTTTTCCATTTGATGGTCCATTAAGTATACCCGAAATATTATCTGTAGCTCATGTATTGCCCTAGCCGCTAAACCCTAAACACCCCAGTCAGCCGATCGACTGGCCAGGTGGCGATAGCCACACCTTGCCCATGCATGCTGGGAGCATATACGGGCTTGCAGCCGGAGCTCCACGACAAACTCACAGAGGACTGTTTGGGGTGTTTAGGGTTTAGGGGCTTAGGGTTTAGGGTTTAGGGGTTAAGTTTCAGGGTTAAGAAAGCCTGCAATCTCTGGTAGCCGTAGTTGGTTCCTGATCCTAACAGATCAGGCAGGATGTGAATGCAACACATGACATGATATTTCATGATGACAGCACGGTACAGCTTTGATAAGTGTCGGGATGGCTACACGCTAAAGGATCCCCGTCACAACTCCTATATACAGGGATGATTCCTAGAGACATGCGCCCACTCTCACCTACGCCCTAAACCTACAAGAAGCAGCCCCAAACCCTAAACCCTAAACCCCAAGCCCCAAACCATCAGCTGCCATTTCTTTCCAGGCCTTGGCCGCGGAGACCGGGCAGCCGGATGATGGGTGGAAAAGTTCCGTGGACGATCGCAGCTGAGCTCAGCATTTCAGGGTTTAGTGGTTTGGGGTTTAGGGGCCTAACGCAGGGGCCTGAGAATTATCAACATAGGGTAGGAAGTGGTATATAGCAAGAATGGAGAATCAAATGGAAAGGACGTGGAACATGAAATGGAAATTGAGTAAGTACCCTGTACCGCTCAGGCTGTTTCATGCTTAAATGGAAATTACTCATAAAGACGATGATAGAACATACAAAGGGGATTTCGTATGACTCTTTATAGGGATGCATTCCACCTTTCCCAAGAAAGCATGCGTCAAGATTTGGGGTCGGCTTCGCAACCTAAACCCTAAACCCTTAGGAGTTCAAGGGTTTGAGGGGGGTTGTAGTTGGAAGCAGCAATGATTGCCTCGCAAGACACAAGGCCAAAACCCCCAAACTACTGTTGATACTAAAAATCCTGCATGACCCTATTATATTGTAATGGCATAATTCCCAAGGTATAAGGTACTTACGGTCATG